TTTTTTGTTGAAGTAAGAAAATAAGTTTAATTTAGCCAACAAAAAAATTAGGGTAGTAAAAAGGAAAAAAAATTGGAAGAGGAATCTGCCACTCTAGCCTGTCAAAGTTTTAGGAAATGTGTCTGTATTTATTTTGAATCTTAAACACCAGTTCTTTCAAGTTTTTTTTAAAATAGGAGGGTTTCTATTCTTGCTTATCTTTTTTCTTCTCTTGCCAAAATATTTACCAGAAGCACTAACAAAAACAAGTTTCATGCTTTTCAAGTTTTTTCAAACTCTTCCATTGCAAGATCAGTGAAACCAAGTGAAGCAGAACAAAAGATACATTGTAACCAAAACAGAAACAAAGTTCAGACTTTGGCTTCCAGGTGGCAGATTCAATAATTAGTGATTTTAACCAATAGAAGAAATTTTTTTTGTTGAAGTAAGAAAATAAGTTTAATTTAGCCAACAAAAAAATTAGGGTAGTAAAAAGGAAAAAAATAGAAAGAAAATCATCAGTCCATAGACTACAAGCAGGGAGACAGGAAATGTTGAAATTACTTCAATCCACAAAACATTGTTACTAACAAGAGCAGGAAATCTTCTAATAACAGTCCAATAAGTGTCAAAATCGCCGCTTTATTCTTACTTTGGGGACTGGATGTTATTTTTATTTTTTTAAAAAAAGTTTCTTAACACAGATCTTCTGAAAGTAAAAAAAAAGAAAAATTAAACCTCACCAGATGGAACGCTTTTGCTTCGTCTCTTCCTTCAGGAGCGGTCTCCGTCTATGCCAGCCTGGGGGCTGCATGTTTGTCCTCAGTTGGAAGTGCTACCCTTGGGTCAAACAGGGACTTTGCGATGTCCCTGTGACCAGCAAAGCTTTGGCTTCCCTGTCGCCGTCTCTTCGGGATGGTTTAGGTCCTACCGGACCGTCCAAAGACAAAAGTTTCATCGACAGACCCGGACTGTCGGGTCTGTGCAATGTGTTGTCGCGACGTGGCTCCTCCCTTCTAAATCATGTCTATTCTTGACCACAACCTGTGTCTGTTTGAGCAAAATGTATATTGCTTTTCTCTTAAGTATCTTCTTTTCCATACATCTTGTAGACTTAATTCCTCCATCATTGCAAAGAATGTTTTAGGCAGTGTTCTCCTTAATTTCTTATTCAACTTTTCAGTTTTATAATCCAACTAAAATGTGTGGTTTCCCTGAGGAGGTAGATCTCAGAATTGGTGGTAGAACTCAATTCAGCAAAAAAAAACCTGGAATTTTGACAATTTGAAAAAGAAGCAAATCAATGTTACAATATTTGAAAGCATAAGAACCATTTTCAGATCTGACCTTTCCATAAGTTAACCACGAGGCATATCTCAGAATTCATGGTAGAATTTCAGTCAGAAAAGTTGAGTTTTGACCAACTCAAATATGTAAAAGAAACATGTATTCAGGTTCCTCTGGCTGTAGAAAGCAAGAACAAATACTTCATTTTCGGACGAGGTTTCTCTGAAGAGTTAGCTCAAAGCATGTCTAAAAACCTTTTCAAATGCGAGGTTTCCCTGGGGAGTTAGATCTCAGAATTGGTGGTAGAACTCAATTCAGCCAGAAAAGTTGAGTTTTGACCCAGAGCTCAGATTTATAAAAGTAACATTTATGTTCCATGTGTGTAGAAAACAGAACAAAATACTTCATTTTCGGAGGTCTTCAGTTGAGGAAGGCAAGACCAGGGTGAGTGCCAAAGCCTAATCCACTAGAGGAGCCTTGCCATTCCTATATTCAAGTTTATATGGCAAAAACAAAAACCAAGAATTAGATATAAACTATTGCAAGATGCTAAGTAAAAAGGGAATTTGGTTTCATCAGATTTGAAACTGTATTTTGGTGCTTGTTGTTTGGTCTGGCTAAAAAAGTTGGTGAATTTCCAGAATAAGAGGCTACTTGATTTAGAAGGTCATAAAGTAAGGTTTGGTGGTTTATGGTATGACAAAATTAAAATAAATGTTGGTTTTAACAACCATTTTGTTAGATGTACCATTCTAAGTGTTTGGAATAAATATAAAACAAGGTTTTCTGCAAAGATGCCTCTTTGAGTGTCCCCCCCGAAGCCTTTTTCAGAAAAGCAATTTGGAAAGTGAACATGTAAAAGCACTGTATGATTCAATGGGCAAGGAATTTTGGAATATGCTCTGCTTGAATAGTGGGAGAATACATGGATGAAAGATTAAAATTTACATTACACTTTTTTAAAAAACAATTATAAGATGATCTATCACTGTTATTTAACACGAGACAAGTTATCATGAATGTATAAAGGTATTTCAAATGAATGTTGGAAATGTAAATAGAGAGAAAGAACTTTTTATCATTTATGTGTTAAAACAATGAAATATTGGAATAGGATTCATATTCTAATACAGAAAATTATTAAAGTGAATATAAAGATAAAACCAGAAACTTTGAGAGCAGCAAGACTACTTTATGCACAATAGATGCAAAGATGTAATGTTTTAATATTAGTTGTTTATATAAAATATTTCCCAATAACTATGCAAACAATGTTCATACAAAAATAGACATTTTATTTAATTTATAGAAAACATAATGTCAACATGTAAAGCGCTTCCATGACTACTATCAACTTGAGAAGGGAGGAGAATTCCATGCGTACTTTTGGCCAGAGTAAAGTCTCATATTCTTATAGCTGGGATGTGAATGCGCATGTCCAGAACCTGCCATAACATCTTGTTGGCGAATGTGATTAATGGGGAGGGGACACAGGGGTAAAGTTCAGATGCCATTAAGTGGGATTCAGTTTCGGCTCCACAGAAGATCGTGTCAAGATGTTGATCCTAATAAATGAATGGGTTTTTTAAAAACTTTGTCTTGAGGCTCGTAAATTAATTAGGTCATCTCTTGGGAACTTCACACATAAAATATAAATGATATTTTATGCTGTACTTTTCACTGACAGATAAAATTGACAGATAAAATGAGTTTTGTAACAAGAGTTGTAGGATTATATATCACAATAATCCTACAGAGATCTACATAGAAAGTAGAAGGAAATTTCAGATGTTATATTAAGCTTCAAATGTATTGTAATAATATGTAGCTTATAAAGAATGGCAACTTTAGCATAAAAACATCTATGATAATATATTTCATCCAATTTTTTTTACTATCCCTTTTCTAAAACTACAGATCCATAATTTAAGGAAAGTGAACATGTATTCTACTTTGATAATATTTAATTTGAGATATATGTACACATGGTTGGAAATAGTTGTAAATTTGGAATGCATATTAATCATTAAATAAATTAAATAAATAAAATTAATTTTATCATATGGATAAAATATAGTACAATGTATGGTAGAAATTTAAATATAGCAATAAAGCATACTTTCCCAAACCATAAGGACTCTCTTCTATTTATTTATTAATCAATCAATCAATCCTTTCCCTTCAATAGGCACATATTAAATTACCTTTCTGCTCCACATCTAGTAAAGTATACTTAACCCATGAGAAATATAACTAGCAAAGAAATAATTTCCAAATGGAAAAAAGAATTTTCTTAAATAAATTCAATAACAAATGGTATAGTTTCAAAAAACAAAAAGCATTCAGTTTATATTTATATTCATCAATTCATCAGACAGAAGACAGATGTCTAACTCTCTTCAAGATAGTTAGTGTCAGGTATCTTCCAAGTGTGAATCTGAGTTTTGGAAAGGGAAATCCTTATTTTTGAGTTGTACTATTTTTAAATGGTAATTATAAACATACAGGACTTCACAAGGTTGAGGATCTTAGAAAAAGTATTCTCAGAACAAGCATTACCATGCTAGACTGAGGTGCTGTATTTTTTTTTAAAAGATTTGTGCATACACATTCTTTCCAAAATCTAACACTAGATTTTGATGAAATTAGTGTTCTAGAAACCATATAATTTGGTTGGCAAGTTTTCCATTATTTATGAATCCATAAAATAAATACAGCAAAGACATTTAAAAACTATATAGGAAAAGCATATACACAACCCAAAGCATAAATGTATGCATTTTCCATATTCTAATTCTTTCAGAATGACTTAATTTGAGAATATGAGATAAAGCAAAGGAGAGAGAAGTAGAGTATAAATGTACATTGCAAATGTATATTACCTTATACATGTAACCAATATGTTCAGATCAATATCTTATTTTCTCTATGTTACAAGATGTCTTAAATAAACAGACATAAACGGCATTTTTATCTTGAGCTGTAAGAATTTCATTACAAATTTTCTTATGGGGTTAACTTCTTACTTTTTGTTCCATACAATACCACAAAGATATACAGTTTTTCCCCGAACCTGCAAGAGTTCCTATACAATTTTTTCAAGGATTCTAAGATAATCACAACTGCAACCCTCTCAAATTCCATACTCTGTGTAAAGAAAAAGGTCTTACAGAAAGCCACAAATTAGAACTATTGATATTAAAGTAGCAGAGCCATCAACAACAGATTAAATACAGTAAATATTTGCACTTTAAAAACTACAACTAGTATTTTCCAAGAAAACCATTCCAAGAAAACCATTCACAATTGTTCAAATAATTTCTTGAAATTGCATAAGCTATTGTATTGTAATTTTATTTGAAAACAATGTAATAGGTTCCAGCCTTCCATTATTCACCTTCTTGAGTTGATAATATGAACCATCTTCTGAATTTTTTCATTGTTTTTTAAAACATTAGCTTTCTTAGTATAAATCTTGTCTTCTTCATCTTTGATCAATTGATCCAACTCAGTAAGTTCTATTTTTAAGGGTTCCACAACACCATCTGTGATTCTGAAAAAGATAAAGACAGTAAACTATACATTGTAAAACTAATGTAAATCTATTCTGGATACTGTTATATAATTACATTTGATTCAAAGAAATGATAAGAAAATTAGCTCACAGCAGTATATACAGGTAGTCCTCAACTTACAACTGTTTGAGGACTGTTAAAATTACAAAGGCATTGAAGAACCGGAGTGATGGCATCTGCCCGAAGTTCTGATCGGGACAATGCCCCTGTGGTCATGTGATCAAAATTCAGGTGCTTGCTGAACTTACTGAGTTGGATGACTGCATAAGTATGACTGCAGGAGTGCTGCTCCCTCTGTGGACCATGGGATCTTGAACAACAAGACTCTGGCACATGGAAACCTTCCATACACCAGGACACCTTGCTGGCTATACCCAGCAGTGCACGGGCTGCTACCTCTCCTTACTCCCAGGAAGCCTGTTCCGCCCCCCCCCCCCACTCCTGGAATGCCTCAACTAGCTAGGCTAGCTGGGTGAAATCCTTTGCCTCCCCCCAATTCCAAGATTTCCTCCTTCCCCCTCCCAAGAAGCCCGGCCTTCCACCCTGCCTTCTTTGCCCCAACACATCCAAGGTCCACATACCTTTTCCTTCCTTTGCAACTGCTCACAAGAATGCAAGGCTGAGTTAGAGAGCTAGTGAAGGCAATTTTCTTAAGGCTAAAGAGGCAATCTTTTTAAAGGCTTGGCTAGGAACAAGAATAGGTGGGTAGGAAGGGAGAAGGCAGTGCTGGGCCTAGCTGGCAAAGGCAAAGGCCAAGTCCATGTCCAATTTCTGCATGCCAGTGGGCACTGGGGCTCCTAAGACTTCTCTCCCACCTCCAAAGTACCGTGTACAGATGTTTAACAACTGCAATGATTGTGATCATTGAGTAAGGCAGCATTGGTGTCTCATTTAATGACCATGACTTACAACAAAATTCTAGGCTCAATTGTGATTGTAAGATGAGAACTAACTGTAATAAAGTTATCTTGAGATTTTACTGAGCTGGGAAGTAAAGGAGAAAAGAAAGTCATCAAGATTGAACTGAAACAAGAGTTTAAGCAAGTATTCTGAAGTATTTTCTACTAGACTGTAAAATGAAGGGGATTCATCTTACAAAGCTGATGGATAAATGGATCAATAATATTTTGTCTTATACAATTTGTGTCATAACAAAGGTCACTAACAAGTAACAATATAAAGGTATTCTTTACCGTTATTCTTTACAAGTAATAATAAAGGTATTCTTCATGCTTCACATGTTTAATTCTTTTCAATTAATTCTCAGTATCAAATAGTTTGTATGATAATTGTGTGTGTGTGCCGCACGCACATGTGGACAAATGTACGTATGTATGCTTGATTTCGGGAGTCTGCCTGGACAAATCCATTTAGTTTTCTTGGCAGCATTTGCTCAGAGTGAGTGACTGGCTAGCATCATGCCTAAGGCAGGACTAGAACTCAATAATATCCTGGTATCTGGCCTGGTGCCCTTATCCACTACAGAAAACTAGGTCTTAGTAGTTAGTGCTAGATTACAGTTAATTCAATAGTATGTTGGATGACAGACTATCAATGCTTAAATGTAGTACTTATTTTATCATCCCTTCCTATAATAGTTACAGAATTAATAACTAACATTTTGCCGCAAGAAAACAACGACATCCTTCATTAATAATAAAGTAACAGGAATATTGTAGAGAATATGTCTTCAACTTTAAATGGAAATTGCAGATAAGGCTGGAAGGCTATCTGGCTCAAACTGCAGGTAGGCCTGGGATGGGAGAGCACTACTGCATTTATTAATTTTGCCTGCTGCAAAGTTGAATTGTGGGAGGCAAGCAGTTTAGTTAATGTTCAACCTGGTACTGTGCTTTCTTTCTAGAAACAGAAGAACCCACATACTTGCGTTTACTTATAGATAGATCTGGTAGCTTGAAAGAGAATATTCTTTCCCACATACAAAAGACTTTCTACAAAAGTGTTAGATCTCTTCTAGTCTGCCCTCTTCCTCAGTTTTGCACATCCAGTTAAAGAAACAGATCCAATTCAGATTTGTTTTGTAGATAAAATACTATGGATCTTTGGATTAATCTAATCTTTTATTGCAATTGTTCAAATTTTTAAAAGATTCTTACCCTTGTTCCTTCCTCAGGGTCTCTTCAAGTTCTTTATTTTCATTCTGCCATGTCTGAAGCTCATTTTTCATGGCATCTACATCTTCTTGAATATAGTCCATTATTTTACCAAGAGGAAGAGCACTCCGACAAAGGGCCTGAATAGAGCCACGAAATTTCTCTATTTCTTTAGTTACTAAATCTTTTTCCTTTCTCTTTGCTGCTTCTGACAAAAGTGGCTTCTCCTAAGAGTTTTTAAAAAGTTCAGATATCAATCAATGGGAAAAATAAAGTAACAGGACTGAAAGAATGTGTTTTAGAAGCCTCAGTGAAGTAGTGCTCATTCATGAAGAGACATGGAATATAAATAAAGTAAATAATATCAAATGCAGAGAAATAAAATGATATGCTTACTTTAGCAAAAGGTATGTCATTGGATAATACAATAATCAAACATTTTTAATATATCCCTCCAGTCCTTATGAAGTACAGCCCAATTGGCCATCACTTATTTGGAAAGCAAATCAAGTATTTCATGTCAACAATTCATCTTCCTCCATTTTCCAGATTTTTTTCATGGCCAATTGTATGCAAAAGATCTGAGCCCCTAGGTCCATTTTGAAGAGTTTGGAAATTTTTAATTTTTAAATGAATTAGTCATGCAAAGAAACATAGTCATGGAAAAAGAGACTGATGTTATTGTCATTTGCAAAATATGTTCCATGTAGGCACTCATGCTCATAGAAGACCCAAATTACACATGTATCTAATGTAAACTAAATGAACTACTTGAAGAAAGAGTAAAAAATGTAGAAGCAACTCTAGCCACTCTGAGGTTCAACCTACAAAACAAGAAATTCCAATCAAAAGAAGAAAACTGTATCCAAACTGAACATGATACAGAAACAACTACCAGAAGAAATAAACCTGTAAATGAACCTGTACAAATGAAACAGCCCAATGAAAACTGCCACCCACAGAAGATATAAAAGAAACATGACAGCTTGGGCAAGGAATTTTGACTACAGCATTCAATTAGGGGATTGGGAACAATTGTGGACAAAATTACAAATTAACAATGTTGGCCTCATACAAAGAAAATTTATATAAAATGTTTTACCATTGGCATCTACTACCAGCAAGATTGGCAAAAATTTACCCAAATTTGAGCCCCCGATGCTGAAAATGTAAATAGGAGCATGGTTCATACTTCCATATTTGGTGGACATGTCTGTAAGTGAGGAAATATTGAAGCCCCCCATTCAATTCTGGAGCCGACCGGAAGTCTGGTTTCCCCACCATAGAGTCTCTTCCTAGCATGGTGTCCTTTTTCCTCTACCTGTCCTAACCGAAAGCCCTATCAATTGTGGAGCTGACCGGAAAACCTGCCCCTTGTCATAGAGTCTCCCCCGGTGCACCCTGCATCTCCTCCCCAAACTGGAAGCGCCTCTCAAAATTGGGGTGCTGACTCACTATAGGGAACCACAGCAGAGGGATGGAAGAGCCACATGCTGCTCCAGAGCTGTGAGTTGCTGACCCGATATAGAAGATTGTGGAAAGTTCTGAACAGTAACTCTCTTTTGAGAAGGAGCCAGAGAATGATAGAATATGAAAATGCTACAAAATAAGCAAAATAATATGAAGAAGTTATAGATATTAATGTTGACTGAGCCATGGTGGCACAGTGGTTAGAATGCAGTACTGTGGGCTAATTCTGCTGACTGCCGGCTGCCAGCACTTCGATTCTCACATGCTCAAGGTTGACTCAGATTTCCATCCTTCTGAGGTCAGTAAAATGAGGCCCCAGATTGTTGGGGGCAATATGCTGACTCTGTAAACCATTGCTATTGATTGAGTCCCTTTAATCAGCATCAATCAAGACTGGAAGATAGGGAAAGAGAAAAATTATCAATTCTCCTATATTTTTGAAAATCTTGCCACAGATGTGCCATAGATATTAAAATTATTTACAAAAACTATAAGGCATTTAAAATTGACCAATCAAAACCACAGAATAAATAAGAGGGGGGAAATACAAGATAGACTGTACATAAAAATAGTATGAAATAAGAGACATAAGAGAATTAAATGTATATAAAGGATGTTATATATGGAATTAATAGAAAATATACACAAAAACAAAGTATGTGTGTTATGTATATATGTATGTATGTATGTATGTATGTATGTATGTATGTATGTATGTATCTATGTATCTATCTATCTATCTATCTATCTATCTATCTATCTATCTAGATTTACATGTACAGACAAAAGTAATCCAATAGATATGTAAAAGATGCAAAATGTGTTGCAAAGATATGATTGTATAAACAAAACAAAATAAATAAATAATAATAATAAAATTGACCAATTAAATACTGAAAAAAACATTGTCAGTCAGAGTGCCTATAATCTCCTGCTAACCTCCATTTTTGATTCAACTTAATTCAACTCCAAGATTCAAAAGGGCCTCAAACTCTAGTCAGGTCAAGTCAATGAATTTTCTCTTTAGAGAAGAATTATAGACAACATTTAAATCATTAAACCATTAAACCTTCCTTCCTCTCTTCCTTCCTTCCATTTGTTCATTAGATTTTTGAACTGCCTAGTTCTCTTAGAGGGACTTTGGGTGGCATACACCAAAGTATTAAAATAAATGCTGTTGAAACAATACTTTCATTGGTTATATATCAATGATAACCACTACTTTAATATTAAAAAAAGATGATTAGATTTGCGATACCAATGAAGAGTAAGAGGTAAAAAATTGCCATAATCAATTTTTTGAAGTTTATTTGCAAGTTACCTTTTCAGCAGATTTTTGCAACTGTGACAATTCATAATCCTTCTTTGTTTCCAATATTCTTTGGACAAGGCTACCTATTGAAAATGAGTAATATTAATATAGTATTTTATAAAAAGAAGAAAAGCAAATTGATTTAATTTTTTTTCACTGAAATAAGATATTTTGTCCTAAAATTATTTCAATACGTCCTACAGAAGTACATGAAAATAATTTATAGATGGTATACTATTCCTCTACAATAACCACAGAAATTTTTATCTTTTCTGGGCTGTGATGGTAAGATAGCAATTCTTTGAGGATACTATTATTTGATTTCCACCATTCACTCAATTATCCCTGCTAGTGATTTTAAACATATAAAATTGTATACATGTTGTATAGAAATTATATTGATGCAATATACAATTTATTCCATTCCCATGTTAATAATCATGTTTGTAATCTGATAATACTGATACATTAAAATGCTGTTTCCAAAGGGCATTTAAAATATGGGGAAATACTTGGATTAAAAAATTAATGTGAAAGAGTGCTTTATAAAATCTTATAAAAAGGGTAAATATTCAATATAAACTACTAGCTATTTTAACAGATTTTTATCTGGACACATCATTGTGAATGCAAACACTGAATATCTTACATTTCCCAAAAAGGATTTACAGCAGACAGACTTTAAAATCTAATTATTTTTTAATTTTATTTAGATTTCATCTTTAAATTTATTTTGTTTAGTTTTTAATCTGATATTTTATTTCAATTAAAAGCAGTATGTCTATCAACATCTATATTTCTTTCATAAAGAAAATATTTGTATGAAGGGTCCTTGGCACTTTGAGCTTGATTGTTTTCTTGCAGATTTTTCATTATGCAAACTAGGTAAGGACATCAATGCTTCAAAGGAGTGAGGTTTGCTTTCAATTTATATTCTAATAGTTTGCTGTTATGATTCCAAGTAATGCACCCATCGCAAACAGGACTCTGAGGCAAGCTGGTTCCTCAAAGAAGAGTTTTATTAGGGGATATCATTTTGGCACAAACTGGTGGAAAGCCAATTCTGAAGGTTCCTGTGCTTTCCACCACATTAAAAGTAAATGTTTCCTGTTTTCTCAAAACAATAACTCACACTGTCTATGTTACCTAATTTGGGTAATGAAACATCTGCAAGAAGACAACCAAGCTTAGAGAGCACCAAGAACCCCTCATATTTATCTCAATTACACTTAAAATAGAATATTCATTTGGAATCTTTTTTCATTCATTTATATAATTTTATACCATCTCAATCAGCTCTAGGTTGTTAACAATAAAACATTAAAATTGAAAATCCATAAAAGAAATCAAATATCATCAAAACTGTATAAAATAATGAAAAATGGCCACTCAGTCTAATACCCACTAAAGGCATGTTTTTTGGGAGGCTTTTCAGAAAATTCCCCAAGGGGGGATTCTTATCCCTGGGGACTGTGCATTCTATAATGTTGGGTGAATTACAGTCAAGAGTCATTTCTTTCACCTTTCATGATGGGACCTTGAGCAAACCTTCTGTCATAATTTCATTTAACATAGTGAACCATTATTGTCTTTGTTAGAAAAAGTACAGAAAATCCCGAGGATAATCAGCCTTTGAAAGGAATGAGTTAATGTTCTAATTAATGAGATGACAAAAAGGTGTGACCTTATACATGTTGATTGAAACAATTAGTGTCTGTTATATACAAACAGGATTGTTTCAATCAAAAAAGAGTTCTCTGAACCTGTCAACGCTCGTAAAGCTGAAAAATGCCATTGCAATGACTCTTTCCTTTACTGACCCTATGGGCAAACCAAAAGTTCAGGAACAGACTTCCAGTTTGGCCATAGGGCCGGTTTTTGTCCTCCAGAGCCTTCAGGAGGCTTCCCTAAGGTCCCGAAGGCCCTAAGGTCAAACCAGAAGTCAATTCCCAAAAAACAGCCTTAAAAGAAGGCCAAAGTTAGCTGGCCAGTGCGCGCATGCATCTGGAACTGACAGGGGAATGCCTCACATGCCCTAACAAATAGCTCTGCGTGCCACCCATGGCATGCCATCATGGCTCTAGAACTAAAGCAGCCTTCTGACCAATTGCTTTAAAAAAAGGCATGAATAGCCTTTGGGGGGGCTTGCAGAGTGTTCGGGGGGGGGGGGGGAAATGAGCTGAAAACAGCCCATTTTTTGCAAAAACAATTGCATGCATAGACCTAAGGAAGCTTATTGAGTGCTGCTGGGGGCAAAAACCGGTCCGTTTTTTGCTCATTTCTGCCCTCCCCAGCCGCCAGGAGCTCTCTGAAAGCCCCCATAAAGGTATTAATAGCCATTTTGGTGAAGGGGGCAGGGCTTCAGGAGGCAAAAAATGCTGTATTCGATGTATAAGACGCACCCAGATTTTCAACCTCTTTTTTGAGGAAAAAAGGTGTGTCTTATACTCCAAAAAAAAAATGGTAGTTAAATAATAGAAAGAGGTGAACAAAAAACTAAATATCTAAGGAACTTTATCAAAAGTAGGAAAATGCAGAGCTAAAGAAAATATGACTTTCAACTAAGTCAGTTCTGTTTTCTGAAATTTAGCTATATAATGGATTAATAAATATTATTGAACAAAACACTTACCATGTTTCTCATCTCCTTCAAGCTCTACTGTTGCCTCCTAAATTAGATAAACAGAAAGGTTTCTGAATTACAGAAAAAAAGTTTCTATTATTGTGATCAACAGATTGCAGTGTTTTAATACTTGGAACTTGGAATACTTCAGAAAGAGTAATACTTGGAACTAACTACCTCTCTCTTACCCTAAGAACATAATAAACATCAATTTATTCTAACAAGATTTGAAGGAATTATTCATATTTTAGGCTCTTAAGAGGTGTCCAAATTGTTAAAGGTTCAATGAGTTCATTCAACAGGTAAAATCCAAAAGTATTTAATTGCAGAAAATAATTTTACCTAACTATTCTCATTATAAACTTTTCATAACAGATTTTAAGATTGTGCTGGAAATCACTTCATCTTCTGTTTCATAAATAACAATTTCTTTCAGATGTGCATATACGGATATACATATACTTTTCATTTTTTCATACATAATTTTCTGTTATATTTATATACCAAAAATGCACCAATAAAAACAAAATAACAGAAACTAATGAAATAATAATGCTTATATAATTTGGCAATAAATTAGGTCAGTAATAATAACTGAATAAAGAATTACCGTATTTTTTGGAGTATAAGATGCACCTTTTTTCCTCAAAAAAGAGGCTGAAAATCTGAGTGTGTCTTATACACTGAATACAGCTTTTTTTGCCTCCCGAAACCCCACCCCTTCACCAAAATGGCCGTGCATAGCTCATGAAGCTTTCAGAAAGCTCCTGGGGGCTGGGGAGGGTAGAAATGAGCAAAAAATGGGGTATTTTTGCTCAATTCCCCCCCCCTCCGCCCTCTGGAGCACTCTATAAGCTTCCTAAAGGCTATCCATGTCCATTTTTTGATTAAAAAACCAAGCAGATTGCCCAGGTAACGGCTTATCGGGACATCCTGAACCGAATCTCTGAGTGGTTCTGAATAGCAATAAAAGTAGATGGCAGATCGCACACTAACGACATGAGAAAGCCACTGGACACAAAAAAGAAAAGTCAACCCGACCTGAAACTGCCCAGCCGATGGGGACCCACAACACAACAGGCCCTGAGACCAGCCCCCTCTCGACATCTGCTAAAATGCTACAGATGTGAGGAGTGGGCCACATGACATCTGTGTGCCTGACACCAACCCCGATGCCAAGGCCAGAGTCACCACTCAGGGCATGACTGGAACACGGACCCAAACAGACCACCAGAGTGTCCTGGAATGCCCTCCAGGCTGCAGAAGTCCCTCCCCACCCAGACAAAGGGGGGAGAACCCCAGGCAATGACGACCAGTCACCAGAATCCTATGACAGTGATGATGAGGGGAAAAATGACACAATGGTGAGAGGACAGTTCCCCCTTTCGTTTTCCCAATATGCCTCACAGCCCCCAAAATGGAAAGCCAGTGGACTTTTCAAACCCTAATAGACTCAGGCTGCACTAGGATGCTTGATCAACCTGACCACAGTCCTGAAACTAGGAATCAGAGCAAAAAGAATGGCCCACCCAATCCAGTTCGAACAGGTTGATGGGTTCCTAATGGGGGGAGCCTATGCCACCCACCTGACCAAACCAGTGAGACTAGAGCTAGTGGATCACTGGGAAGTAATTTGATTCATAATAGCCCCCAAAATGATAGATGCAGTCATACTGGGACTCTCCTGGCTAGACAAGTGGGCACCAACGATCTGGTGGCAAGGGAGTACCCACAGACTTAGGATAGAAAAGGGGCCCCAACCCCTTTCACACCAGCAAACAGAAACACCACCAAGCAGGGAACCCCACAAAGAGCCCACCAGAACTGGCAGCCACATCCAACAAAACCCCAGAGATTGTACAGATGTCAGGAGAGTATCAGGACCTTGCAGAAGTATTCAGCAAGACTGTGATACTTTGCCCTCCTCCCCCACTGTGAGGCAGACTGCCCCATCGAAATTATCCCGGGGCAAAACTACCCATGCCCACACTGTATGCCATGACGCCCTGGGAAATGCAAGAAAAGTGCAAATGCATAGACAAAAAACTAGCACAAGGGTCTATTGAGTCAGCCAAGCCACAGGTCGCGGCACCAGTCTCTTCAAAGTAAAAAAAGTGGAACTATGAGACTCTGTGTGGACTTGAGGGATAAATGCTGTGTGCATACACAACCAATACCCTCTCTCCCTCAGGAAGGACATGCTATCTCACCTGGCCAAGGGAAAAGTCTTCACCAAACTAGACTTCAGAGAAGCATACTACCGAGTATGCATCAGGGAAGGAGATGAGTGGAAAACAGCGTTCAACTATCCCCTAGGGAGCTTCCAATTCAAAGTGATGTCTTTCGGACTGCAAGGAATCCCAGCAGTGTTCATGCAGTTAATAAACAAGGTGCTATATGAGCACCTGTACAAGGGGGTCCTTGTCTCCCCCGCCGTCCTAGCCTGGAAACCTCCTAGCACCTGCTGACAGCTGTAAAGCTTCCTAGGGCTCACGAACTTCTACAGACAATTCATCCCCTCCTTCGTGAAGATTGCCAAACCCATGACAGACCTAAAGACAGGTAGCCCAGGAACAAAACCTCACCCCGGACAACCTCTACAATGGAACATAACCTGCCAGAAGCATTTGAAACATTAAAAGAACTGTTTGCAAAGGAACTGGTGCTGAAGCATCCTGACCCCGAGCAAGCCTTTGTTAACCAAGCAGACGCCAACAGTGTGGCAGTGGGAGCAGTGCTACTCCAAAGAAACAGCCAAGGAAACCTACAGCCCTGTGCCTACACTTCCCACAAGCTCACAGACACAGAGAGACAATGGGCAGCATTGGGAAAAGGAGACTCTCATGGTGAGATGGGCACTGCTAACCTGGCGACACCTGCTGGAAGGGAGCCAAAAACTGTTCAAAGTCTGGACTGATCACAAAAATCTGGAGTCTCTGAGGACCCCATGGAAACTATCACCCAAACAAATTTGATGGGCTAAAATACTTCCACCGTTTCGACTTTGTACTAAAGCACATTCCAGGGGGGATGAACTTTGTAGCTGATGCCCTCTCCCGCATGCCTCAGTATGAATGCGAATGGGAGGATGTAGTGGATGCCATCATTCCCTCTACTCAAACCACTGCCCAAGTGAACACCAGGCAGCAACAGCATGACCGGCAAGACCAACCCGCAAGCGACCTAATCACGAGGCTCAAAACCGAACTGCTAGCAGATCTCTGGTTCAAAAACAACCAACACATCTTGACATAGCGAGATGACTTCATATGGAAGGGGATAAAACTCTATGTCCCAGAATCCCTACGCACCCTAATTCTCCAGAGGAGCCATGACGCCAAACCAGCAGGCCACTTTGAATTCCTAAAGACTTTATACTTAGCCCAGAGGCAGTTCTGGTGATGTGGATAGTTACAAGAAAATTTGCATCATCTGCGCCACAATGAAGAGATGACTGGGAAAACCCCCTGGACTGCTGCAACTAGTAGCAGAGCCAACAAGGCCATGGGAGATCGCAATGGACTTTATAGTAAGGATATTGCCAAAAAGTGGGGCAGGGAGAGGTGATTTAGACTATTCTCCAAACAGGCCCACTTAATGCCCTGCAGCGGTCTTCCCTCAGCTCACTAGCTGGCCAAACTGTTCCTGAAGCACATCTACCACCTGCATGAGTAACTTGAAGAATTATCTCAGACAGAGATGTCCAGTTCTGGACGGATTTCAACGGTCCTTTGGGTCACCCCAGGGACTTTTCACCCAAGCACCAATGGGGGGGAGAGAGAGACTGAACGCCATGATAGAGCAGTACCAATTGGGCAGACCTTCTGTCTTTTGCTGAGGTCACATACAATAATGCTATTCACAGTAGCATGGGTCTAACACCATTCAAAGTAGTGAGCAGCATGGACTTCATCCCAATGCCTGAGTATCCTAGGGATCCCCCCTCGTCAGTCAGCTTGACTGATTGGATGTCAATGTAAAAGCAACCTGGGAGAATGTCAAAAAAGCGCTGGCTAAAGCGGTGAAAATCTATAAGAAACAGGCAGATAAACACCGAGCTCCACAACAGCCATTCCAGGTGGGAGAAAAGGCCTACCTCTCCACAAAATATTTGAGGTTAAAACTCCCTAGTAGAAAACTGGGGCCAAAGTTTATGGGACCTTTCCTCATAGTAAAGATCATCAACCCAGCCACAGTGCAATTGAAACTGCCCCAACTGCTAGGGAAGATACATCCAGTATTCCATGGTAGGTTCTTAAAGCCTGTGGTCGGATCAACTCTGAGACCACTATCCTGGGAGCCCCCAGACGCTGTGTTCATAGGGGGCCAAACCCATTATAAGGTGCAATGAATCCTTGATTGGATTCCAATACTTAATCAAGTGGAAGAGCAACCCCTTGTCAGAGGCATCTTGGCTAAGAGTAGAAATATCCAGGTTGATTGGCTTATAGCAAAATTCCATGCAGAAAATCCAAACAAACCTGGGGGGGTAGGGGTGGTGGGACACAGCCTTAAATCCTATACCTATACTCAAATTGTTTTTGCTTTGCACAGGTTGCTTTCGGAAAGTGAGGGGAGCTGAATGTCAACTCATAAAGCATCAACATATTGCCATGGTGAGAGGAAAGGGGGGGAGCACATTCCACGCATACTTTTGGCTAGTGAGATCTCAGATTACTACAGCAGGCTTGTGAGGCATGCACCTCATTGGGAAATGTGATTTATGACACAGACTGAGGGAGGGAAGGGGTAAAATTCAACCATAATTAATTAGGGCATCTTTCAAAAATCTGACACAGACTCAAAAGTGAGTCTCCAAAGAGAGGGGCAGAAGCTCTCCTACCAAGACGTAGCAGCAATTTAGCAGTGGGAGCAGTTGATACCAGAGGACAGATACTGATAGACTAAGAGAAAATGGAGAGAGGAGAAACTTTGGATTATCGTTTAAAAAGACTTTTAGGGATATATGAGACTCTTTTGGATTGCGACTGCGACGGAACATAGAACTTTGTAGGAAAATCTTAACAGCTGTGGACTAGAGACTGTGCCAAATAGTGTGAGATGGCAATCTAGAGGCAAGAAGATGAACAGCTACTGATGCAATATCTAGAATAACATATAGAGAAACACTTATTAATAACTGCAAAACATTGATTGTAAATATTCTACCTATAGGGGACTATTTTATATCATTTTATATATAGACTATAGCAGTGCATATACACTTATATTATACAAATTTATATTTAAGCTTATATTTATATGCATATATACTTATATATTTATTTATACCACTGCCTATTTATTCATATGAAAATATAACCATAATACTGATAATAAATATAGCACTACTGGATTAGTATTATATAATATTATTTAGTATTGAATATTACACTGTGCATAAATTTGGAGAATTGTCTACAGGAAAGGTGGTAAGTATTAAAAGTGGATAGTAGTTTATATATGCTATTGTCAAAGAATATTTTTCAGGTTGTGAAAATGACAAGCACAACAACCATCACAAAAATAGGAAAGAAGACAGCATCAAATCCATCACCCACATTATCTCCATTAGGCCAACGCTCAATAGATAGTATGCTTAATGTGGAGAAATCTGGTTCCACACTAAACATGCAGATTATGCAGATGAACCGCCTCATGATTCAGGAAACCATGACAAAAACCCAAGAGTCGATTGCAAGAAATCAAAAGGACATAAAAATTGATATATGAAGGGGGGCATCTGAAAATTGGATGACAAAAAAGGGGCAATATAATGGAAAAATCCAAGAATGAACAGAAAGTACAAATGGTGGAAACAAAAGCAGAACAAACACAAAAGAAATTATAAACAACGGAACAGAAACTTAGTGCAGCAAATAGGAATCTGGAAGAGGCAATCATACATTTAGAAATGGAAAAAGCAGCCTTCCTCTTGAGGTTTCAAAATATAGTGGAAAACAAGGAAGAAGACATACTAAAGATTATGACAGAACTATTAGCAGACACCCTACAGAAAAATAAACATGAGATCCAAGGGGACATTGATGAGTTATACATACAAATTATGCGAGACAGCATAAATTACCAAGGAAGGTCCACCAGAAAAACAATGAGGGGTGAAATATATAAGAGGACAAGGGATGAACCAATGATTTATAAATGAAGATAAATTCAAACTCTAAAACAAATCCCAAGAAGGTTTAGGGAACAGATAATACATTATCAATTCTTAACTACCCAACTGATCAAGTACAATGTGATGTTTAGATGCTCATCCCAGAAGGTGGTTTTGCTGACATCTGCTGTGGGCTATTAAGGAAGGTGGGTGCTTTCTCCCTCTAAGAAAACCTGTTCTCCATTTCTCATCCAGGGAAATATATTCTTCTTTTTTAATATTTCTCAAAATATTTCATTCTTTTAGAAGAGGGGTAGATGCTATCTTTCTACAATTGGGGCTATATTACTATGCCAATATTATCATGAGAGTAAACTATAAATTGGAAGAAGGATCTACTTATTATCAGTGAGCAATCATGTGCCTTGGCCACTCCAAAGCAATGCAAGAGACTCCTGTCCCAAATGTGCTTTTTCAAGAGACAACTGGACTTTCTGGAAACCAAGAAACAGATGGTTTAGGTTTCCATGACAGTTGTGACTCATTGGTCTTCAGTGTGTATTCCCCCATTTCTAATCTAATAACTGGTATTTAGGGCAGCTTTTTGCAAGCAAAAAAAGCTTTTTGTATTTTTGTACAGGTAATCCTTGACTTACAACAGTTTATTTAGTGACCATTCAAAGTTACAATGGCACTGAAAAAAGTGACTTATGACTATTTTTCACACTTGCGACCATTGCACCCAGTCACATGACCACCCAGCCAGTCATTAGGACAGAGAACCAATTGTTAAAAAATTTTCAGCCCACACTGTGTAACTTCCACATTTTTCTACCCTGAGTGCTTAAGATTATGTATATACACCATTCTAAAGGTAACTGCAAATCTTCTTAGATTAACTAAGATTGGAAAATGTCTCCATCTGTAGTCTAGTTTTGAACTTTCAACAACTAGACATAAAATGGAAACTAACCTACTGAAATCCCATGAAAAAATAAGAGCAAAACAGTTAACTACATGTTAACGTTTTCATATTTAAATAAGAAAGCACATAAACTAACCATTTTCAGTTCTGTTATTTCAGGTAGCTGCTGTTCTGCTTTCACTATAAACTGGTCATCCTCTTCTTCTTCTTTATCTATAATAACGTTTGATACCATTTTGGCACTGCCATTTCTATAAGAAAATAAGAACAGAGCAATAATTCAGATATTGTCACAAATAACCATTTTAAGGTAGAACATGAACATTTTCAAACCAAACTATCTAAAAAGCTGTAAAATTCAAGGACACAACCTCATAAAGTGGAAATTTGAGGGAAATTCAAAACATACTATTTTATTCTCAAAAAAAATTTCCCCTATTTTAAGAACATCTGGCAAAGTGAAGTAGCTTAGTCAAACTACATTTTCTTTGCAGTACAATTTGTAAACTTTTTCCATTTTACTTATCATTGTCACATATGAATGACCTAGACTGGACTCCTCTTCAAAAAACTGAATCCACATCAAGCACTTATTCAGAATCTTCTATCTGCTACTACACTGGACATGGTAGCTTTCTACCTGCCTTGAATAACCTGCACCTTACGCAAGTAGATGCCAGCAAAATGCCAGCAGCCCTAGACTCATAGAATTGATTTCTCATCTGTCAACATGGAGCTGGTAGTTTCTTGTAACTTGGTAAATAAAAAAATTATGTTTCTGACAGTTTCAAACTTAACAAGTCACAGTTGATAAAACTAATTATAAATATACTTAAAAAATGGAAACACAAAAGTACCGTATTAATATATGTAGAAGAACTTATACTTTATGAGTTATAATACTAAGGAGACTATTTTTTCCCCCCTTCACCTATGGTTAGTATTTTTTAATCACATTTATTATTGTGATGCTTTAGGTTTTTAGTTGTTTTTTAATTGACTGCTTTATTTATTATATGCTGCCCAGAGTTGCTTTTTGTGAGATTGGCGTCTATATAAACTCCTTGCAGAGTTGCAGAGTGACATGAATGAACAAAGGTGTACCCATAACTGTCTGCTGAGTATAACATTTAGCATAATTCATAACATTCTGGACCAACTACAACTTCCAAGTGCTTTTGAAGAGAACTTTTTTAAAGGTCTTGCTTTCACAAGAGCAGAATTTAAAACCTAGAACAATAGGAGTGGAAGGGAATTTGGACATCTTCTAGTCCGATTCCTTGCTCAAGCAGGGCATCTTATACCATTTCAGACAAAGGGTCGTCCAAGAATTTCAATAGCATAGCTTTCAATAGTTCTGAATAGAGGTACCAGAGAAGATAATAAAATAAGGGGTATAAATATTAAGAACTAAATAAATTGAGGGCATTTGCTGATGATCTGGTCATATTTTTACAGGATGATAAAAACAATATAGAATATTTGATGAGGCAATTAAATGAGATTGTGGCTTTGGCAGGTTTCAAAATAAACAAATAGAAAACAACAATGTTGATTAAGAATATGTCTTCTCAATGCAGTGGTATATTGATCAAAAGTAGGGTTTTAGGGTTGAAAAAAAGGTGAAATACTTAGGGGTTATGTTGATAAATAGAAATATAAAACTGTTTCAAAATAATCCCTCTTTGGAGGGATTTTAAGAAGAACTTACAAAGATGGGACAAATTGCACCTATCTCTACTGGGTAATGTGTATCTGTAATCAAGATGAATATTTTACCGAGAAGGAGGAGCCACGTTGTGATGTCACAACGTGCGGTCTTGATACTCCAAGACTGCAGTTGACACTTTTGCTGCTGGACGGTCCATTGAGACCAAAACCGTCCTGTAGAGACGGTGATCAGGAAGACGAAACCTTGCTGGTCTCAGGGACATTGCAAAGTCCCTGATCGACCCAAGGGAAGCGCTTCAAGCCGGCGGTAAACAGGCAGCCCCCCAGGCTGATGAAATCGGGATGCTCCGGAAGGAAGGAAGTGAAAAGACAAAGTGAGTCCATCTGGTAAGGTATTTTTTCTATTTTGCTAAAGACTGCCCAAAGAAATTTTTCTTTAAAGCCAAATTAGATCCCTAAGCAAAAGAACTGAGCAGTGAAACTAACCCTAATTGGATTGCTGTGGAAAGCTTTTTTTTCTTTGTAACTATTCTTTGTAGATTGAAATGCTTGCAATGTTTCTCATTTCTCCTCTTAAAATGAATGGATTGATTTTTCTTCTGCTTTTTTTGCTT